TTTTTCGAGAGATGTATTTTGTCATCTTGGTCTAAAGTATAAGAGCTATAGTCAGTCAAGTCTAAGTACTCCTGTCACTTGGTTGTGCTTGGTGGAGGCTAATGGATGACGAAAACTTGAACAGAGAATGAGATGATGGCATTGAGGGATAGCATTGGGGCTTTTTCGAATGTAAAATATGCCATCTGTCACTTCTTGGACCATGTAGAGAGACATATACAATTGTTATTGGACAGCTGACTTTAAATCAAACAGTCTTGATTTGTTAGCAGAGGTGTTAAAGCTTTTGCTATGCACTGTTTCTAACCATTAGATAATTAAACTTCCTCGACCATTATACCTGACCGCTACTTCATGATCGATTACCCTGAAGTGTATCTTTGGTTTATATGCCTCTGGCACCAACATTATTTCATGCCGTCCCACCAAGGATGGGGATGACATATCTGCAAGGTAAGTAGCTTAAATTGTGAATAAAACCATGTTGATGATGAGAAACTTAATGGTAGAGTCTACAGTGATTTGAACATGACTTGCAATAGGAGTTCTAAACTGTAATCGCGTCAAACTGCAATAGAGAAAAGCCTGCCATTATGAGTTCAGAGCTACACATTCCAGCCAAAGTAGTCACTATATTGAGAAAGGCTCACGCCGTTCGCCGCTTGATCTTCCTCCTTCTGTTCAGCTTGAAACTACCAATCCTTCTCACTTGAAGTGGTCTAGTATTCCTCAACCTTCCAGATCCACCCTTCAAACGCACTGACAGTCCTCTTGATTTCAATTGAACTTCATGGTGGTGACTGTGGCCTCTGTATCCTTCTTTGAACCCATAACTCGTAGGATAATGCGACCTCTGCAGACGACCCATTCTTCTATTTCTAAATGATCTTCGCCTTCTAGTGACACTGGCATTATTATAGTAATCTAAGTTATCATCGTCCAGACTAGAACTATATCCTTCTTCAACATCTTTAAAGCGGCGACGACGTCGGTGCACCCGTTTGGTGTTTATTAGTTTGTACCATAAAAAACAAGTGATATCTCCTATTGCTAACCAATAAGTCTCGCAGGCAGCCCACCCCATTTTACATAGGCTTCTGACAATGCATTGGACGAGCCCGAGCTTGAAAAGGAGATAAAGGAACATCAAAGCTGACAGCATACATGAAGAAATAAGACACAGTTCTGATACAAAAACCTCATGACAGAAAAAGGCAACAGAAACAAATAGAAGGGGAGAAAGATTAAAATCTTACTGATGTATGTGAGGATAAAAACCATCATCAATTTCACAATATTGGAAACGCACAAATGCTCGATAAAACAAGCAATATCCCATGTTCCCGAGCAAATACTCCTGCAGACATGACAATGAGTAAGTTTTGCTATCAGACTAAGTTTTCCCTTTCTTATCACAATAGATAAACAGTAAGTACATAGCAATAATACTTTAGAGACTGCTCCTGCTTCAGACAACTCTTTATGCATGATCATGGCAAAATTCAATGTAAATGTCCTGGTCAGTGTCGGTGAGATGATGAATATGCTACAAATAATACATTCCCCTACATTGAATGAGTGGTGGGTATAGGGCAACATTCAGAATCATACAGAGTCGACCGACTTTAGATGGTCCATTTAACGTCGGGTGGGAATGAAAAACATGTCCGTCTGTCCACTTTGAGCAAAAAAAAAAATCTCCATTAAATGTACAACAAGCTTCACCAGTTTATCGACACAAAGACACACACACAATTATCCACCCCTTAGAATTTGCGTTTGTACAGAAATAAGAAACAAAGACAGAGCTCTTCCTTCCCTGCATAGTTTTAAACTGAAAATAATCTAAATGCAGAATACTTATACTGATAATAAACCCAATCTTTAGAGCAGACTGGCAACAAAACATACAGTACTCTTTTCTGCTTTTTAGATAGCTGCCATTTCTTTATCATTATCATAAAAAGCATGTTAGAATCTGTTCAGTGTAATCTGATCAACACTTAAATCTTTCACATAGTTGCTAGTAATGAAAGGATCCCTTGAGGAGAATGAAGTATAGACTATGGAGCAATAGCCGACTTTTACCAGACAATGAAACCCCTAATGTTCTTAGAAAGTGAATTGTCTGCTGACTTCTGTCAGCGAGTCCACTGACAATGGTAAACATATAACGAAAAAACAGCTACAGATAGAAAAGCATATTCTTACTCGCAGTTACCACCAAAAATTGTTTTAATTGGAGCAACGAAAGCGTTTCCAAGGACAGCACCGATGCCATTTGCAGCTTTACTAACCACCGTTCCCATTTAATGAACTCAATATAATCTAATTTACATGCCCATACATATGATCTTCATGGATAAAAGAAGAGTTATTGAAACAAAAAACATCCTGTTCACATTAAAAACAGTACAGTATAAGATAAGAAAAAAAACTTCACAGCCATATGGCATTCTTAAGAAATTACTTGTCACAGTAGACATCAATGGGGAAAAGAAAAGCTGCATATATACCAGTATGCATCACTACAGTGGATCTTCTTCTTTTGTCTATATATGTTGGCAGCAGATATGTGCATCTACCAAAATCACTTGTACAAGTAACAGAAGCACACGCACAATTGGTGCTAGTAAGGGTGGTGCAATAGTTTGCGCAACGATTCGAACTCAAATAAAAAATCTTGTCTACTCCCCAAAATGCACCATTGAAATTATGTAAGAACCAAATATAACAAAACAAAGAACACTAATCAGTTCTAGACCAAATTTAAAATGGTTGTCGAAGAAGTCTGTTGACATAAACAAATTGATATTATTCTAATGAAAATGCAATTATTAATTAATATATAGGTTAGAGAGAGAAGAAAAACAACTTACTTGTTTCAGAAAAATTCAAATTCGCTAGAACAGAAACTTGCATATTCTTTGATTAGAGAATGGCGGTTAAGCCGTTAAGATAGTAGAATGTGGGTTGGGCTAAAATTGAACTTCGTTCGATATTGGGTTTTAATTTAACCAGGCCTAAACTCTTTGATATAAAATGATAGATATTTTGTCCAGGCCCAATTACAACCCTATAGGCCTGCAAAATCTAAAATATCAATCTAGAAATCCAACGGCCTCCAACTAATAAAACATGAAATGCTTTCTCATTAAACCTAACGCCGATAAAAAAAAATTCTACAGACTTTTCAGTGGACGAAAATGCCCATTTAGTATAGAAAGTTAGAGGGTAATTTCGTAACTGAGATTATCTATAAATAGCTGCCATTCACTAGGGGTTTTTCACAGTTTGCTATCAGTTTCCTCTTTGTCAAAGCAGCGAGAGAGTAAAAATTTTGGATTTGCTTCTTCGTCTTTGTGGTGAGATTTTGTTCTTTAAACCCTAATGTGTTTCATTTCATTCGTTTAGATCTAAAAAGCTTTCTATTGATTCTGATTGATTATATATAATATTGTTCTTTGTGACGATTTTATTTTGATTTTGATTCATTTCTGTTTCTTTGTGATGTCATTTATCGAAGATGAACTGTTGTGCTTTTTGCTTATAATGAATCGATTAGTGTTCTTTTTTTTCTCTGGATATTTTAAGCGATTTATCATTTTAATATTCCGATCTTTGGTTTTTATCGTTTTTTTGTACCGATTTAGCTACAATTGTGTATCAAGATGTTCGTTTTGATTTCTGTTAATCGGTTTGTTTCATAATAGCTTAGTTCTGAATCAGCAAATGTTCATTATGTTACTTGTTATTCTTAATCCAAGTTTTTTATATAGATTTTGAATATTTGAGTTGTATCTTTACACTTTCTTTTCATCTAAAGAAAGTTAAAATTTTAATCTGTTTTATTACTATTGGAAAAATTTTGCATTTTGCTCTTTTAATTCAAAAGCATGCAGAACTCTTTATTTCTTGGTTTGTATTCTTGCAATTTTATAATATTATAATTAGCCTCATTTTAATATTCCGATCTTTGTTTTTTTTCATTTTTTTTGTACCCATTTAGCTACAATTGTGAATCAAGATGTTTCGTTTTGATTTCTTTTAATCAGTTTGTTTCATAATAGCTTAGTTCTGAATCAGCAGATGCTCATCATGCTTCTTTGTAATGGTTAGTTGTTATTCTTAATCCAAGACTAAGTTTTGGATATAGAATTTGAATATTTATGTTATTTTTTTTACACGTTTATCTAAAGAAAGTTAAAATTTTGATCTGGTTTATGGTTGCTATTTGAAATATTTTGCATTTTGCTACTTTTGTTCAAAAGCATGCAGAATTCTTTCTTGGTTTGTATTCTTGCAATTTTATGAT